CGAAAGAAAATAAGGAAGGAAGGAAGCAAAAGAAAGAAAGATAAAGAAAGAAGGAAAGACAGAAGAAAGGAAGGAAGGAAGCAAGGAAGGAAGGAAGGAAAGAAAGAAAAGGAAAGGAAGGAAGGACGAAGGAAGGAAGGAAGGAAGGAAGGAAAAAGAAAAAGAAGCAGCCAGGCACGGTGGCTCACGCCTGTAATCCCAGGCACTTTGGGAGGTTGAGGTGGGCAGATCATGAGGGTCAGGGGAGATTGAGACCATCCTGGTGAAACACAGTGAACCCCGTCTCTATTAAAAATACAAAAAATTTGAGGCATGGTGTGCGCATCTGTAGTGCCAGCTACTCAGGAGGCTGTAGGCAGGGAGAATGGTGTGAATCCTGGGAGGCAGAGCTTGCAGTGAGCCGAGATTGCGCCACTGCACTCCAGCCTGGGCAACAGAGTGAGACCTCCGTCTCAAAACACAAAAATAAAAATTAAAAAAACAGAAGAAAGAAAGAAAAAGAAAAAGTGTTTTGTCCATCCACAGTGGAACGCTATGCAACCACCATTTAAACGGCCAAAGGAGATCTTCTCTAAGATATGTTATGTGAAAAGCAGAGAGTGATAGGTTGGTGACTTTTTTTTTTTTTTTTTTTAGACAGAGTCTTGCTTTTTTGCCCCAGGGCTGGAGTAAAAAAAAAAAAAAAAAAGAAGTTGGAGATTAATCTACCAATTTTTCTGTAAGTCTGAAGTTATGCCAAACATAAAGGTTAAATTTAGATAACAAGCTAAAAATGTTTAAAGGTTAGAAAAACAAGAAAACCCACTAATACATTCATGTGAAATTGAGCAATATAAAATTGTCCATATTTCAATATTTTTTACCCATATAAACAGCACTTTCTTGTGATTCAACCTATAGATTCTCTTCCTTTTAGTCGTAACTTTTATTTTTCTTGTGTGATTGCATTGGCTAGTACTCCCAGAGGAAAAACTACTTGACAGTGGACGTCCTCACCTTGGCACTGATTTTGATGTGTTTTTTTCTCTACAATTTATAAATCTCCTCATTTGATCTATTAGTATAGCAATTAACAGACTTGGGAATATTGAACCATTGCTCCATCTCAGGCATAACCTTTGTTGCAGTGTAGGTTAAAAACATGGGCCGTGAGCAGTGGCTCATGCCTGTAATCCCAGCACTTTGGGAGGCTGAGGCAGGAGGATCACCTAAGCTCAGGAGTTCAAAACCAGCCTGGTCAACATGGTGTAACCCCCGTCTCTACTAAAAATACAAAAATTAGCTGGGCGTAGTGGTGGGGGCCTGTAATCCCAGGTACCTGGGAGGTTGATGCAGGAGAATTGCTTGAACCTGGGAGATGAAGGTTGTAGTGAGCCCAAATTGTGCCACTGCACTCCAGCCTGGGCAACAAGAGCAAAACTCCATCTCAAAACCAAACCAAAAACAAACAAACATGTTACTTGGTTCTTTTTGTTTAAATTCCATCTGGGAGTTTTGTACCCTTCTCACAGGGTGAGGGATTTGCGATTTTCCTATTGTGCCACCTTTGTCAGCTTTTGTTTTCAAATCAGCTCCCTATCAAGAGTCCAATCACCCATTTTACAGATAGGGTAAACTGAGACCCAGAGAGGGAAAGTGACCCTTTCCAGTTACTCCTGAGCCAGGGCTAGACCTCCAGTCTTCATATCTGTGGGATGTCGGTAACATTGTTGTTAAAGGGGACTTCAAATCCCAGCTAAGCACTAGCTCCCTGCATGATCACTTGGACCTCAGTTTCCCTGTCTGTAGAATAAGCACTTTACATGGTCGGGGAGAGAGGGCTGAGGCTCCTTTCTGTGAAGTTTCCGTTCAGGGCGTCTCCACGGTCTAAAGCTGAGCGTCGCATCCAGCGTGGGGGCGCCTCTATACACGTCCCCGCAGACACTCCCCCACCATGTCTGTCCTGGCCGAAGCCCCCTTCCGGCTGGGGGTCGACTCACCCTCGTGCGCGCCGCGCCGGCCGCCGGCAGCCCCCGGAGGGTCCCGAGCGAGAGCGCGAGCGAGGGCTGGGCCGGGGTCGGGACCCCGAACGGGGACGCGGCCGAGGCGATCTGCGCTGGGGGCTCATCTCGGCTTCCAGGGCGTTACTGCCGGGAAGGCGGAAGGGGGCTGTCAGCCTCTGGTCCCCTGTCCCCAGACATCGCCAGCCCTCATCCGCCCGAGCGTCCCTTTGCTGGGAACTCCATCCCCAGAGATCCCCATCTCCCAGGGTTCCCGCTCCCCAGGATCCGGCATCCGTTCGCCACCACCAGTCATTCCCGGGACGCCTCCCTAGAGACTCCCAGCTACATCCCCAGAAGCTCTATCTCCAGACCACCAGCCTCTCCCTCGATACTTCCTTTTCTTTGCACCCTTCTCTTCCGTTCCCCGTCCCTCTCGGGGCTCCCACCGACGCTGGATCCTGGAGACCTAAGTTTCTAGAATGTTCGCCCCAGCCTGGAATCCCAAGAGAGACTGCTCCCCTCTACATCCTTAGGTTCCAACTCCAGGAACCTCCTATTAAATAACAATGCCCCGCCCACAATACCACGCCCAAATTAATGATTGGCCTAAAGAATGCAGCCCTACGCAGGCATTGGTCGCGCCCTCCCCGTCCATCCGCCCCCGCCCTCGGGCCCGCCCCTCACTCACAAGCGTTCGCGCAGCACCGCCTCCCGGGCCGCACAGGCTTCGCCCTCGGCCTCCGCCACGCCTGCGCGCCGCAGAGCCTCGTCCAGCCGCCGCGCAGACTCCGTGGCCGCCGCCTCCCAGCGCGCCAGGGCCTCTGCGGGCGCAGAGGTCGGGGTCAGGCTGGAGAGCCCGCGCCCACCCGCCCCACGCACGCCGGAATCCAAGTTGATAGTCTGCATGCCGTTTGCACGCTGTCCTTTATTTGAATTAAATTTGTGCGTACCATTGCATGGCTTCCACGTGCCATTTGCATAGCTTTTCATAGGTTTGCATTGCTTTTGTGAGTCGTTTACAAGGCGTTTGCATGTTTTGTGATGTTTGCGTTGTTTTTGTGATATTTGCATGGCCTCTGCATGTTGTTTGCATTCGTTTCATAAGTTATTGCGTTTATTTCTGTGTTATTTGCATTACGTTTGCAATTATGCTGGTTTGGATAACTAGGATTCACCTAGGCTCCTCCCACCTCTATCCCTGCCCACTCCCTTATACCACAACGCACCTGTCAGTGCCCCGTTCTCGGCCCCCATCTGGGTCTCCTGTGCCTTGGCTTCGTCCATCTCAATCTTCAGTGTCGTTAGCTGGGTCTGAAGCCGGCTCTGAGGAGTGGAGGGGAAGTGGGAGGGGGTGTAGGCGGAGGAGGGGAGGAGTGAATCGGCCTGGCCCTTTTGGGGAGAGTGAGAAGCCACCTGCAACCCTGTGTCCTCAGCTGTGTGGAACGTCCTTTGGGGCCTTGTAGTTGTAAAACACAGAAGTGGCTTCTGAAGCCTGGGGCACCGAGTGGTGACAGCTGCCTGCCTGGGGGGAGATCTCTGCCTAGGTCCAGTGCCACCAACCCTAAGCCACTGGATAGTGGAGAGTGCTTAGCTCTGCTGTCAGATTCAAGTTCCACTTTCAGCTCCATCTGGGACTCGCTGACGGGATTTCAGACCAACACAGTGAGCCGGGCGTCGTGGCTCACACCTGTAATCTCAACACTTTGGGAGGTCGAGGCGGGCGGATCACTTGAGTCCAGGAGTTTGAGACTAGCCTCGCCAACATGGTGAAAAACCCATCTCTCCTAAAAAAAAAAAAATAGCCGGGTGTGGTGGTGGGCGCCTGTAATCCCAGCTCCTTGGGAGATTGAGACAGGAGAATCGCTTGAACCTAGGAGGTGGAGGTTGTAGTGAGCTATCGTACCACTGCACTCCAGCCTGGGCAACAGAGCGTGACTCTGTCTCAAAACAAAACTAAACAAAACAAAACCAAGCAACAACAAAAACCAACGGGGGGCAATTTGATGGTTGACAATGATTGAATTTCTGGGGTATGTGTAGGTTTCCTCTGGACATTCTGCAAAACGACTGGTCCGGCTTCCTCAGTGCATCTTACAGTAAGGGGGCAGAGCCAGAATTTGAACTCAGAGTAGGTTGCTCTTAACCTCGACTGCCCCAGTCCCTTCTCTTGGTGGGGGCAGAAAACGGGTAGGGATTTATTTGGAATTTATTTATTTATTTATTTATTTATTTATTTATTTTGAAATGGGGTCTTGCTCTGTCAGCCAGGCGGGAGTGCAGTGGTGGGATCTCAGCTCACTGCAACTTCCGCCTGGGATTACAAGCATGCGCTATCACACCTGGTTAATTTTTGTATTTTTAGTAGAGATGGGTTTTCACCAGGTTGGCCAGGCTGGTTTCGAACACTTGACCTCAACTAATACACTCACCCTGGCTTCCGAAAGTGCTAGAATTACAGGCGTGAGCCACCGCGCCCGGCCGCATTTTGATTTTTAATATTCAGATGTTGCACTACCTCGGCTGGGCTGGGAGGTTGGGGTGGAATGGGGGGTGTGCCCAGAGGTAGACAGTAGTCACTCCATAAATGGAAATGGCTGGGATTTTGAGGACAGTTCTTTTGAAAGGCTCAGGGCTGGAAAGGGTTAAAAAAAAAAAAAAATCTCTGGCCAGGCCAGTGGCCTCACCGCCTGTAATCTCACACTTTGGGAGGCAAGGTTGGGTGGATCACTTGAGCTCAGTTCAAGACCAGCCTAGTCAACATTGGTGAAACCCCATCTCCTATTAAAAAGTACAAAAATGGGCCAGGCGTGGGTGTTCATGCCTGTAATCCCATTTCACTTTGGGAGGCCGAAGTTCGGTGGATCACAAGGTCAGCGAGATCCAGGACCATCCTGGCTACACAGTGAAACCCCTGTCTTACTGAACTACAAAAAATTAGCTGGATTGCGTGGCACGCACGCTGAAGTCTCAGTTACTCGCGGAGACTGAGGCATGAGAAGTCCATTTGAACCCAGGAGGCTGGATGTTGCAGTGAGGCCGAGATC